GTCATGTTGTCACACAGTGGGCATTTTCACAGTTTTAAGACTAATTATTGTTGCTTTTAAAAGAAAAAGTATTTTTCTTGTCATTTTTGAAAACCATGCTTTTCCCCTCCCTCCTTTTTATCAGCACAAATATTTGCTACAAATGCCTAGATGACAAATCACATAAGTAAAATTTTTTTTGTCTGAACAAAATCTTCATTTTACTATTCCACGTGAACAGCCAAGCAAGGGCTAAGGCAATTTACTTGCAGGCAAATATGTAATTACAGTCAATACTGTACATGCAACTGCACCCCCAAAAGTTAATCTGTTCTTGTATGGCTTACAGAGTTTCATTTTTTAATGATTTTTTTCATATTGGTATTATTAAAAATAAAGCTTCTGCAATCATAGTCTTGGTCTGTTAGCTATTCTCCTCCCAGCCTTTCAACCTCATATTCTTTCACCTTTGGTCTACCTCAAATGAATCTGGTAAAGAAAGAGGTAATTAAAGTCCTACAAGATGCCCATGAAAGTGGTCATTTAGATAGAATGCCTATCCCCATGCTAATCTACATATCTAGCTGTCAATCCACTCATATGCATGAATATTGCTGCTGATAAGCTGTTGAAAGTTTTTCTCTGAATTCTTTAATTGATGGAAAATGCTGTGATGTACTTCAGCTGGTGGTTTACAAACTATCTATGTGGCCTCTCTTCTGAGCTGCAGAGTGCTGCCCTGCAGCTATGAGACCTGCGATACTTGGGTGCTTTTACATTCAGTCCACTAAATTTCTTTCTTTTCTTGAAGACTTAAATTATTCTTCTTAACTGCTTAATATCCTTCTTGATCATGTCCAAAATATGTCTTTCTTTTCTTCCTTTTTTCTTTAACATGAGTTCATTTTCTTTGGTATTACTTATTACAAAGTGTTATGTTTGCCAGTTAATTATATACTCAGGTAACCATTTATTTCTTTAATGGTAGGATAACCAGCTCCCTTGCTTTTCTTTCTTTCTTGCATTCTTTTGTTAGTGCTTTTGTTCTTTTTTTTTTTCTCCTTTGGAGTTTTGTTCTGCTCTTTTGTTTCTTTCTCTTTTTCTCTTTCTCTCTTAATTAGACCTGTGACTTCTTTTAAGTTTTAATTTTAATATAACTTTTTCCTAGAACTGGTGCTTTTGTATGAACAATCCATTTGTTTTCCTCTACATGTTTTTGTTCTGATTAGAGACTGTGGGAGTTAAGGTGCTGTGACAGCCCCGTGCGTCTTTCTGCACACATTCCTTGGTGGTTTGCAGTCTGGTGTTTATAATCCATCTTTTTCTGAATGCATTATCCTGGCCTTTGATGTTTCAAATTGAGCCTGCAGCTCCATGTAATGCTTTTTGTATACTCCAGCTTGAACTCCATATGCTTGTCTGCCTCAGGTATTTTGTCTCTTTTTGTAAGTGCGGATTTTCTTTTCTTATGTATTTTACTCTTTTCTTGTAGTGTTTTAGATTCCCTACTGTCTCTAAGGAGCTGGGCTTCTGTTTATCCCACTGTATGGGAACTAATTGATCACCTGAGGTGAGCAATGAGTCAGCTAGGGGAGCACAGGTGAAGGCAATTCACCTGTGTTGCTGGAAAGGGTGGAGCCTGGCTCTACCTCTCCTAAACCCATTTAAGAGCTGGCTACCAGTGTGGAAGGATCTCTTCTGGAGATCCCTCTTCTGGAGTTTCACAGTGAGCTCAGGATATGGGTAAGCATTCTATCTATTCTCTTTTGATATAGTAACTGTTGAGCCAAATTCTCTGGTATATTTCATAATTATAACATCTATTTCTTATGCTTTGAAAATTTTGACTGCTTTCTCAAAAGTGTATTTTTGAGCCATCTAGTCATCTATTTTTGAGCGTTTGGCAGTACTAGGCTCTTTTTACAGGTGCTGCCAGACTGGTTCTTCAGTTTCTTTAGCCTGCCAATAACCGATCAGTGTTAAAGCTTTTTTTAAAGTTGTGTTTATATTTTATATTCTATACGGAGGGCGGAGCTTCTTAAATTCTATGCAGTATAATTTGTAGCAAAACTATTATGCTTAAGGAAGAACAAATCTGATAAAAGTAGTACTGCCTCCAAAACCAGCCATAATCAGGGACAACCTCAGTATCTCCTCCTCAATTCCCAAGGGCAGCACTCTGCTGCAGATATAGACTGAAACAGTGGTTAAATCTTCTTCAATTACACTTTTTTTTTTTTTTTTTGGAGAAGTTTAGCATCTGTATTGCTACATTCTTCACCCCAGGATTTGTTCTTGATTTGATTCACTCTAGCTACTGTGCTATCTGGAAATCACCTCGAGCCAGCTAGGTCACTGAACCTTCATTGTTCAGTGCCTGTGTTCTTATGGAGCAATGTTGCCTATGTCTGGATGTGTGGTGGGTCTCAGATGGACTGAGGGGAGCTTGCAAAGGCTGTCTGACAGAGATGAAAGTAAATGTGCCTGAAGCCCATAATTAGTCAGTGGAGTTACTTTCAATACATCAAATGATTTCTAGGGGTCTCTTTTCAAGTGAAGTAAACTGGAGAAGCTTGATCTAAAGCTGCACTGAATAAAAAAAAAACAACCCTGGTAGTCACAAGCTCACACTTTGAGTGTATTTTTGCAAATATTTATTCAAGGGTGAGAATATTGGAATTCTTTTCTCATCTTTGCAGATTTCTATAATGTGGAGCTCAATTGGTCCTGTGGGAGTCCCTGTATCTAATAATATCATGGCTGCTTGTGAAATCTACTGTCTGATGTGAGGAGTGAGGTGATTCAGCTCAAAAGGGATATTACTCTCTTCATGGCTGCTCGATTTTTCTCTCCCTCTCGTTTTAATAATAATAAGTATTGCACACACAGTTTTCTGACTGTCATAAAATATCCTATGGAGTTCAGCTGAAGCAATGAGAGCTATGATAATTCCTCATGCATTAGAGCAGTGGCTACTGCAAGCGTAGCAATATCTGGTGGAAGAAGTTGGATTAGTCAGTGTTGAATTTCTAAGAGGCTGAAAGAAGAGTAAACAACTACACAGTGTCTTTACAGTAAGAAAACCAAATTGGTTTTTTTTTTTACATTAGAGGGCAATAGCTTTCTTGGTCTTCTGGTTGGCATCAGATTAATTGAAAGGATGCATGAACAGAATGTTCTTCCTCTTGACTGTGGTTAGTATTTGTATGGCCCTATAATCCAGAACAACTCTACACTGACCATTGTACTAATGTGCAACAGAAAGTCATCAGCCTTCCGGGAATTTTAGAGTCTAAGTACAATAGTCCTCTCTATCCCATGTAGTACTACAGGAAGGGAAAACAGGCAACAAAAATCAACTATCATAAGATTTTTGTTTGGACTGTTTGTTTAGGTTTTTTAAAATTATTCATTAGATTCCTTCTGCATAAAGCTAAAACCTATGCTCACATGTCTTTTTCAATGGAACAGGTGAGGATTCCCCAGCGTCCATCTTAACTGTGAGAGGATCACACAACAAACAGAAAAGTTTACAGTTACCTGCACATGTCTTCAAGACAGAGTAAAATCAGTCAATTTTTCCATGTCATTTTTGTTCATTCTCCTGTTCTGACACAAAGCTATTGGTTAGCCTAAATCCAAACTCAAGCTTTGGGTTTAAGCTAAAACTTGAGTGATTTTTGCTCACACCAGTTACCAAGTGACTTCCAGTGAGGCTGAGGTGGTGGCCACAAAGTACTTGTTACCTGCAAGTGCTGCAGCAAAGATGATAAATATATCCCATACTCAGTTGATTGGAATTGATCTTGACTAAGCCTTAGGAAAATCACTGGGCTAACAGCTGCATGTTCTATATGACTTTTGATTAAAAAAAAAAAAGTGAGTTGTTTTGGCTTGTTTGGTTGTTGGTTGTTTTTTTTTTTTTTTTTTTTCCTCCTCCAACTACAAGGAAAGCTGTGGAGTAGAGTTTACTACTTTCTGTGTGAAGGGAGTTCTGCAGGCAATGGCAATATTTCAGTACAGGCCATCTAAATTATTGATTGCTGTATATAGCCAGAGGTCAGGTTTTAAATATCCCTCACTGCTTGAGACCATTCTGGCAACTCATGTTAAAAAGAAGAGAGAAAAATACAAGAGTTTAAATTGAACAAGATGCAAGAAAGTGCTATTAGAATGATTGTGGAAAGGAAAATTTATCTTCTTAGAGAAGATAAAGAAAATTTGTTTCTATGAGATTTTTGTCAATAATGAAACCAAGAAGGGACAAAATTAACTTTGCAAGTACTCTTGGAATGGGAAAATGGAAATGAGTAAAAAAGAAACGTTTTAAATAATGGAGAAAAGTCAGTAGCAGAGGAAGGAAAAACAGTCAACAAAAAATGAGTGGAAATGAGAATAAGGTTTCTCATCATGAGAGAAACGAAACTCTGAGGAAGGATTCTAAGCTTGATACTTCCATATCAATTCAGGATAGGGCTTGATAAATTCATGGTAGGAACTGCACTGCATCAGAAGAATGGAAGCTGGCATTAAATTCAGCATTTCTGACGAGAATATTTTTGTGTTCAAAGTAATACTATCTACAAATAGAACTCACAGAAGACTTAATCACTATGTGTTTGCTGCACTGTATATATAGTCAATTAATTCCATGCCTCAAAGCCTCTACTATTCTCCTGCAGGGACCAGGAAAAAAAAATTCCTTCTTCTACATAACTTGGCTTTTGTTACTCATTTGCTTTATTATTCCACTCTGATACGTACATGCTTCTGAAACACCCGAGATGGACGTAGCTTGAATGGAGAAGGAAGGTCAAGCTGCACTTCTAGTTGGTGCCTAGAGAGACTGAAGTCTCAAGATGAATTTTCTTATGAACGTAAGGAAGAAAATAAAGATTAGATTAGTTGTTGCAGGATAAGTATATTTCATATAATTTCAGGGTTTTTTTTTATATAAAGACATAAAGATAGTTGAAAAAGTGAGAAAAAGCTGAACATTTTTCGTTTATGTTTCTTTTCAGGTTCCATCTATGAAATGTTCGGAAATGAATGCTGCCTGTCAACAGGAGAAGTGATTAAAGTTATTGGCTTCAAAATTAATAAGCTCATAGCAAGTATCTGTGAGAATAATGAAGACAGCCAGTTTTCTGCCAAAGTGGAATTACCGCTAAATTTTCCTGGTATAGTATTTCATGAATACATGTTTTTGAGGAATTATAATCACCTTTTTGCATTTTATTTATTTACTGTCTTCACTGATATTTATTTGAGCTTTTGTCTCAGCTGTCAAAGATACAATTTTATCAGATGGCACAAAAAACGACCCACTCATTTTTACACTTCCATTCCTATAGTTCTCTTTCAAATCTGGATAGAAGTTATTCATGTTGTAATGTTCAGAAATGATCTTTATACTTGAGGTCACTCAGCCTAAGAATTCTTACAAAGACATCCATTCAGTTGTTTGGGACTGTCAAATTTTGAGATTTTTTTTTTTGGCCATATATGCAGAACATAATTTAATTACTGTTGGTATGTCAACCATTCTGAGTAAAAAAGACTTCAAATATTTCATTATGTTTCATTTTGATTAAATCATTTATTTTAATTCCTGTGGCCAAAGTAGCTGCTTTGTGCCTGGGAACAGAGGAAAACAGACAGTTCTATGGAGATGTGCCAGAATGCTCACCTTTTTGAACTTGGACTTGATGCTTTGCATCTGATACTGGCTTAATATTTTAATCGAAAAATATCATCCTCTGATCATGTAGGGAGAGGTGGCCAAGTATTGCATCTCATTTCATCTGCTTTTTAGGGACTGGCTGTGTTAAGTAGAGGAGCGACTGAAATGCAGAGGGGGAAATGCTGTGAGTTTATGCATGTGGGAAGTGGAGGAGGCAAACCAGGTTGAGAAACTGCCTGGAAAGTGGTAAACCTAGGAGCAGTAGATTGAATTCTTGACTTGGTAACATCACTGGTGTTTTTCTATGCATCACAGTGCATGTAAGACTGTGCGCAGGCACATATAAAATACTTAGGTTATATCAGCCACCAGAATTGAGTGTTTTTTGTTTTTCTTCAGAGGGAGACAAGGCACATTTCCTTAGCAAATAAAATGCAAAAGCACATAGAAAAGCAACATTTCATCTGAATTACATAGGAAAGTATCTTCTGCCATGCCTTCATTTTCAATCTCTAAAATACACATTTCTCTCTGAAGTAGTCCTACATATAATGTTCTTTTCCCTAGTGGATTCTCAATATGCTTTCATGTTATTCTTATTTGATGAATCAGAACCTTTTGTATGACCACTTATTAAGAGGCTTTTTTGAAATGTCATTTTCAAGCACTGATAGGGCCCAAAAATAATGATCAAAGACATTTTAATTATTTGTGTCTATCTAGAGATATTGAAGTACTGTGATACTGTGAACTCTCAAGATTCTTGAATTCCAATCTTTGCTATTATTAATTTTTTTCTATATCTCTAAAATATATGTACATGTAGTAAGCTATAGTCTGTATCTTGATTGACAGATGGGGCTGAACATCTGAATCCTAAAACATCTAGCACAACTAAGCACTAAAAGTAATCCTACATTTATTAATGTTGAATCTCATGATTTTTAGAACAGAATGACTTGCAATTTTGAGTAATTGATCTTGGTGACTCTGGATTTGCTTGCACTCAAGTGATCAGTTTTACAACTTGGCATTTGGATATCATGGCCCTGCTGAGAACACCTTTAAATCTAGTCAAATACCTACAATTTATATCTTTGTTATCTCCTGACTAGTTTTCTAGAAAATGTACACATTACTTATACACATTATGTTCTCAGTGAAACAGTTGGACTTGATAATCTGGGCCTGAAAACCCAAATCTTGATCCAAATGAATGAAACTAGTCTAACAATGTTGTTGGCTTGTCTCATCTCTACATCAAAGAACAGAACCAAATTGCTGATGATATTTTTCCACACTGTTGTTGATTTTTTTTCTTCTGTAAAAATATCCACAAGTCTCTAGACTGTCACTGTATTCTCATTGCACTTGCAGGGCTTTCTTGCTATTATTGATGAAAAGAAAACATTTTTGATGTTGTTTTCCACTTCTGTTATAAGTTGTCATTTGCATGTGATGAGCCTGTCTACCCCTTCACTTTATGCATGCTGACATAAGCAAGCCACTCATCTGTTTAGATAACTCTGGGGATGATCTCTCTGAGAGAAGTACTGGACTCATTGGCTTTAAATGAGCCTTCCTCTTTGTCTTGCTGAATGTGTTTGCAACCTACAGAATTCTTTTTTTCTGCTCTGGCAAATCAGATTCTTGATAAAGGCCTTATCTGGCCTTTGCATTAGTGAGACCACTACAACTGCAAGTTCACTGTGTTATTTCATTTTATCCTCATTCTAATTTGTTCATCTTCATGCCTCAGAGGGTCAGGCAGTTCTTTCTGTGTTCATACATTGGACCAAAAAGAAACCTGCTGCTACTCTAGGCATTTTGATGGCTATATATACCAGCATTTTGAACTACAATTTTCACTGCTAACAAGTTAGCAGAGACAGGTAATTTACACAACATCTGAACAGTGTGCCAGCACAAATGATTTCATTTTGTTCTGTTAAATTCCCTTTTCTGCAAAAATATTATTTGTCTGTCCCTGTTCTCAACATGTCTCTGACAGCTGTCGCTGCTCATTCCTACAGGACCTGACAGATGTAGCTGAGCACAACCATCCCTTTGAGCTCTCAGCCTTTGCTAACCATGAGGCAGGAGACTTGCCTGTGGCCATATGTGCATGTGACTGGGCACAGTAAGGCTCACCTTGGTAGGAGTTAAAGAGCTGTCAATCTGAAAGACTTCCATGTAGCAGAGTGAATGCCCTGCAAAACAGAAGCTATCAGGAAATCAGTCCTTGGGCTTCTGCCAAGGAGGTAACAGATACATGGCTCTCCAGTGGTGATGCCAAGTTTGAACTATGGTGATCTGATGAAAATATTACTGTGACTATCAGTGGCACAGACTGGGAAAATGATACAGAGGAAAATCCCATCAGCCTCAGGAGTGAAATAAGCAGCAGGAGATGAGGGATTGTAGTAGAGAGTTTGAGGCACAATGGGAAAAAGATGTTGCAGCAGATGGAACAGAGGAGGAAGTGTGGGTGGTGGAAGAGTGGCAATCAAATCAGCTCCAGAGGAGTCGGGAACTAAGTTGATTCTGTTCTTCTACAATACTTCGGGAAACTGAAGCTACTATGATAACACCAAGCAGTGGGGTGTGGTTGGCGTACGACAGGGACAGAATGCCAATCAGAGGGACCTAGACAGGCTTGAGCAATGGGCCCAGGTGAACCTCATGGTATTCAACAAATCCAAATGCTAGATCTTGTACCGGGGTTGAGACAGTCCTCGCTACTGATACAAGATGGGGAATAAAAGGATTGAGAGCAGCCTTGCTGAAAAAGACCTGGGGGTACTGATAGATGGGAGGCTGGATATGAGCCAACAGTGTACCCTCGTAGCTCATAATGGGCCGCTTCTAAAGAAGCGTGGCCAGCGGATTGAGGGTGGTGATCCTGCCCCTCTGCTCTGTGCTAGTGAGACCTCATCCAGATGTGGAGTCCTCAGTACAGGAGGGGCACAGATCTGTTGGAAACCATCCAGAGGATAGCCAAAAAATTATCCAAGGTTTGAACGCCTGTCCTGTGAGGACAGGCTGAGGGAGCTGGGGCTGTCCATCCTGAAGAAGGCTGCTTGGTGACCCGATAACAGCCTTTCTGTATCTAAAGAGGTGCTACAAGAAAGAATGGGATAGACTCTTTAGCAGGGTATGTGGTGATAAAACAAGGGGAAGTAGTTTCAAGCTTAAAGAGGATAGATTTAGGTTGGATACAAGGAAAATGTCTTTTGCAGTGAAGGTGCTGAGGCACTGAAACACGCTGCCTAGAGATGTGGTAGGTGCCCTGTCCCTGGAGACTTTCAAGGTGAGGCTGAATCATACCCTGGGCACCCTGATCTACTTGTGCATTTCCCTGTTCTTTGTAGGGGAATTGGACTAGATGGCTTTTAAATGTTCATTCCAACCATAAGAATTCTATGATTCTAGTCTAGGACAGAAGGTCATTCTGTTATTTTTAACTTGAAGACTATTTGCTGCTCTCGTAGGTGAGCCTGATTACCTCAGTAATCTGTTGGACAAAGAAGAAAAAGAGAATAGAATGGATGCTCCTTTTCTTCAGAACTCTTATTAAGACTGGAAACAGGGAATGTGTAAAACTTCATAGAGTTGCACTGTATTACTAGTAAAAGGGAGCTGAATATATTGTTCCATACAAATGTGGAAAAACATCCTTCTATATAAACATGCTTTTCCACAGCATGAAACGAATCATCCATATCATTTTCTCTCCCATAACAGTAAAAATTATTTTCTCTGACTCCGAAACCCTCTTCCTCTATCAATGTGTACACTGTTAGATAAAACATTTCTTGTAAGTTATAGGGTGTTCAGATTTAGGGCTTAATAATTCTGAAATGATAATTAGGCAGGAATTTCACTAGCTGATATGGATTCTTGAAGAGTAACAATGCCTATAAATTTCACTAATTGCTGTTTATGAGGTCTGCTCCGAAAGTTATGCTTAAAAGTTAATTTATTATGTAGGCCCACAGTGTTGGAGGAGGATGTTGGTATGGCAGTAGAGATTGAACCTTCCCACCAATATTCTGTTGCAATTTTTTTTTGCTATGTGACAGATGGCAACAGAGGGGCAAATTTACATAATGACATCTGACCTGGATATGGATGTGAAATAAAATGTGGAATGAATTCCTCCATGTAGAAAAATGGTGCCCATTGAAATTCACTGACACTTGGTGAATGTTGATGCAGATCAACAGTGTATGCGTAGACCAACAGATCTGTGTTTTTGATCATATCCCAAATTATTTGAAAAATAGATCTATATGAGCAAGAATGTCAGCTCGCAGTAAACCTGCTGGATTTTTCTAATTCACTCTGGTATTCCCCCTAACATTCCACCAAGCACTCTCATGAAAGTCCAAGATATTTTGATTCAGTCATTTTTTGATTTGTGAAAAAATATTTTTTTTTTATTAACCTCAAAATGTCCAAACTTTAGTGTCTCAAATTTGCCATATGTCTCCTTACTCTGGAGAATTCCTTGCTATTTAGTGTTAGGAGAACAGTTGTTTTTGTAATTTGACTCATAATGATTTTAATGAGATTCTGAGTAGTTCCAGATAACATTTTTAAAAACAAATTTCCACATGAAAAACAAATAAACATGCCATGGCTAGGAGAGCATTTATGAGAAAGCACCATGGCAGATTATGGCAGTTAATTAGGAATTGCAGTTGTTTTCCCCTAATCATACTAGAGTAAATTTTTATTTATCCACCTCCTCTCTGTAGAGAGAAAAACATATGGAACTTTACATACTTACAAACAGGTGGCTATTAGGGGCTTATAATTCAAGGGTCTCATCAATACGGAAGCTAAGAATGCAAGTCCACGTGGCCCTTTAGTTGTCTATGCAAACATTCTGTCACTGAAAGTAAGAAAACAAGCAGAAGGAAATATGAATGTTTTCTGCTTCCAGCCCTGACAAATTCAGTCTGCCTGGGCTCGAGGGGATAATCTGTTGTCTAGTTTTGTGTGAGAGTTGATAATTATGCTTCTACATGAAACCTGCTTTCCAACCCATGATGGTCACCAGTTTATTGCTGGAAAAAAAACCTGGCTTCCAAATAGCTCTGCAATCCCAGGGAAATTCCTAGAGCCCAAGTCTGGTGTCAATTTCATAGATGAGAAGTAAGTTTCTCATGACTGTGTATTGCCATATATTAGCAACTGGAAATGTTTTTTAACATAGTTTATGGAGCCTTCTAAATGTGATTCTGGAGGTTTTCTAGGGGCATTGCATGTGCCCCTATATCACAAATTAGCAAACATAGTTATAGCCTTTGAGATACATCACATGTTTGAATACATTTCTAATGAAGAATATTCCTATTTCTTTTCTCCAAGCATTGCCAAGAGATTATGTCCTTCCTTTCTGTGCTTGCAGTGCATGACACAGAAACAGTGTTTGGGGATGCTGTCTTGTCCGCAGCTTCAGACTGTCATTGGTGCTTTGTCACTGTGATATTTTCTAAATGCTGATGAACCTGGTTTGTCTTGATCTACACTGACAACTCCAGTAGTGATTATGTTTGCAGTGGCTAACTTGCTTGCTAATAACTGTTAAAATCATCTATTGGAAGCACTAAAAATACTAGTGAGAAAAATAGTGTGTGCTGCAGTTTTACCTGTGCAGTTATGTTCATGGATGTGGCTTCCTTGCAACTTGAAAAGAAGTCATGAGACTTTCCCACAGTGCTGCAGTGAGGACAGACACAGAGGATGTATATGCATTGAGGTACTGATTTCACACAGAAAAAGCTGACTGTCATATAGGCAAATGTGAAGGCACAGAATCACAGACAGCATGGACAGTGTTAGTGACTTATTTCTGCAGTAAATCAAACAGGCTGCTGCTGTTTTGGTTGCTAACAAGTGCTCAGAGCTGTTAGTTGCCACAGCTATAAGTGATCTCATGGGGTACCTAGAACTGAACACACCCAATATGATGATAAAACCTCTGAAAACAGAGAGAAACTTTGTGTCCTTAATGTACTTAAAAAGAAGTGCACTAAAGCTATAAAATGAATGTAGCAGTTTTTGTTAAAGATTAAAAAAAAAGGTTGTCTAGGGACTGATTTGATATACCCTTTCTAAAGACTGAAATCCTAAGGATCCCCTGCCTTGTTCCAGGCCCCTGAATTGTGTTGATTGTGTATTCAGGGTGAAGCTCAGTAATGGAAAAGGTGTGGGAGCAATTTTTAACCAAAGCAAATCCCTTGAGAGTGGTCTAGAGATGGTGTGAATGAGTATCTTCCTTGCAGCTAGTAGGAACTGAGTCCTACTGCATCATACCTGGCTGAGATTTGGGCACCTGCTGTGGCATCCTTCCCGTCTTCTCACTCTGATCACCACCAGAAAGGAAGTCATATCCAGCATTGTCCAAGTTTCCCTTCTGAATGGTGAGGTAGGCAAATAGAACACTTACAAATTTTTAGATGTAGTGTGAACCACTCATGAGATGTAGAACTGGTGAGAAAGTGTCTCTAGTTGTGCCAAGCAACATTCCTTGAGTCTGCATCCCATTCCTCCTTCATAACTGCCAAGATGGGAGAATTCCTTTACTCGAAGGACATGATACCATTTGTATGATCTGGAGGAGGCAAAGGAAATTAGTAACAGGGCCATGAAATTTCTGCTTTTTGGCTTTGTAGGGATGTAGGAAAAATGTGGTGCATTGCCCTGGGATATTGGCTTCACCGTTAGCGTAGCTGTGGCTAGACCATAAAAGATGTAATGTGATTCTATGAGGCAGCATTCACACTGTTGCATCTTGGGAAGAGAACAGCTTAATCACATAGCTTGGCTAAACCCTACTGTTTAGTCCTTTAAACTGTCTACTTCATCTTTTTCTGTGAAAACTCTCACACAAATATAAAAATGTACACATTTTTCTTGTGATGTGAACTCCTAATGAGACAGCTCCAAGGGCCATGACTAACATGAAATAATAATGGCCCCAGGGGCTAGAGAGGCTCAGATGCAGCTTCTGTCTTACAGTACAGTATTTCAACACTTTAATTGCATTGCTATGGCCGCAGTATCCAAACTGAGAAACACTCCATCTGATGGTCTGGTCTATCAGAGATGCTAAGAACAAGTTCTTCTCATTCGTATCTTCAAACATGCTCATTCTTGGAATTCCCAGTCTGCATGTAGAAGGAGGCGTTGTACTGATGTTTAGGGAGAAAATTCACCCTGTGTCTCAATGATCACATTGCTGTCACTCTTTCACATATCATGTCTGCATTTGTTTCTTAAGGTCTGGTTTCCTGAGGAAAGAGATAAGAATTTAAGAGAACATGTTTTTTGTTGTTGTTGCTTTGTTTGTTTGTTCTTCTGTAGCAAAAACTCTTTTTTTTTTTTTTTTTAATCACAGACATAAAAATGCTGGATGTCAGAAGTGTTGTAGCTGTGGAGTAGAATGGGATAATTCCATCTATCTATTCTTTGTATCACATGGTTGATATTATCTTCACGCAGTTACATTTCTAGCAACTGAATTACCTGCTTGTTGTGGTTTAACCTGGCAGCAGCTCAGCCCCTCACAGCCTTTCGCTCACTCCTCTGCAGTGAGATGGGGTAGGGAAACAAAAAAAAAAAAAAAAAAAAAAAAAAAAAGTGTAAAACTCATGAGTTGAGACAAAGAATGCTTACTACGACAGGAAAGGAAAGAAAATAATAATAACAAAAGAATATGTGAAACAAGTGAAGCACAATGCAATTGATCACTACCTACCTATCAGTCCCCAAGAAGCCAGTCCCTAGGAAGTAGCTACAACATCCAAGCAACTTCCCTGAATTTTATGGTTTTTACACAAGATGCCGTATGGCATGGAATGTGCCCTTGGCCAGGCTAGGTCAGCTGTTCTTTTTCTGTCCTCACTCAGTCCCTTCTGCCCGCCCAGCACCCTCTCTGGCAGAACAGCATGAGAAGCTGAAAAACTGAAACATTCTTTGCTCTGTATAGCACTGCTCAGTGACAACTAAAACACTTGTGTGTTACCATCATTATTCTCATTATAAATAAAAACATGGCATCATATGAAGAAAATAATCATTATCATGGCTGAAATCATGACATAGATATGATCAGGGGTCTTATCAATCCTTAAAAATATCTAATGGGTGAGAGTCAAGTGGATGGGGCCAGGCTTGTCTCGGCCATGTCCAACAACAGAACAAGGAATACAAACTAGACTTCAGGAATTTCTATATGAATATGAGGAAAAAAAAATCTCTAAGGGTGACAGAGCACTGGGACAGGCTGCCCACAGAAGCTGTGGAGTTTCCTATGGAGGTATTCAGAACAGCCTGAATGCTTTTCTGTGTAACCTATTCTAGGGAGCATGTTTTAGCAGGCAGTTGGATTAGATGATCTCTAGAGGTCCCTTCCAAACCGTGTGGTTTTTGATTCTGTGATTTGTCTCATCTTGCTTTGTATGCTTTCCTTCTTATAATGCATCTTTTCTGTCCTTAGGTCTTTATAAGATTGTGGCAGACAAAACACCATATGTCAGCGTTGAAGAAATTACAAGAAAAGTCGCTATTGGGCCAACAAGATTTGGTCATCCGTGTTTCTACAGCCCTGAGGATATAAAACTGGCAAACCTCACTATCAAAAAGGGTGAGCAGATCACCTTCAATTCTGTGGAAGAGATCAATGGAACAATGGCTGTGAGCTGTATTATGGTCAGAAACAACCGGTCTCATTCCTTTATTTTGCCCCTATCACAAAAAGGAAAATTCTACGAGTGTGAAGATGACCAGCTATACACCCTAAAAGAGATTGCAGAATGGAAAATCCCTAAGTGCAGAAGCCGGATTGTCAAACTTTCCAACGCTTTACATATGTGGAACTCCTCTAATCCACTTCCTGAGAATTTCGGTGGCTACTTGGTTCTCATGCCTGTCTATGAAGTGCAGGCACTAATGAAATGTAAGTAGGAATTAAGGTCAAAGAATTATTTACTCTGTATGATGTGGCACCCTTAAATTCATACAAATTGCTCAAGGAAGAATTATGTTTGGTCAAGAATTCCTGGGGCATCTTTACCAGTGATGCTTATTCCAAATTGCAGAAAGATAAAAATAGTATTCCCATATGTATTTCCCTGTGAGATATTAATACAGATAGTTTCCTGGTATTACTTTCTGTTATCATTTTACTTATCACTAAAATTAAATAATCTTTCAAAAGGAGATATACTACATAATGAAAAAGCAAAGCTTGAGAATTCAGTTCAGTTCAGAGATCCTCTTTCTTTGTATCTCTTTGGCCATGGAGAAGTCACCAGATCTCTGTAGACACTTGAGACCAGCCTGGATGGGGCCTTGAGAAGCCTGATCTAGAGGGTGGCAATCCGGCCCATGGCAAGGAAATAGAACTAGTTGGGCTTTATGACCCTTTTGAACTCTATCTGTTCTGTGATACAGATTTTATAAGACACTTAACTACAGTTTGTGAACTACACTGTTTTTCAGATTGACGTTCCAGAATGAAAACCAATATTATTTTACTTTATAATAGAAACAAATATCAATAGATATAAAAGATTCATGGATGATCTCTGAAGCCTCAGGGTCTGAGGAAATGGGAAAGAATAAGAAAGCCAGTATCTTTAAAAGCTGTAATTTGTGTTCTGAGATTTTAAAATAAGGAAAGAAAAGGAAAGGAGAAAAGATTTATTTTTTTTTCCCCTTGGTAATTAAATACTGTTCTAGTTGTTCTACCAAAAAGCTGAAACTTGTTGTTTCAGTTCTTACTAATGTGCATATCCATGCATTACTTTGAACTGAAGATAGAAGTTGTGCAAGGGCATAAGTACACAGTGAAATACTCCTATTTTATGGTGGCTTGAATAGCTGAGCTGCAGCAATGACCTGTGTGCTTACACAATGTACTGACTAAAGTTCCTCCCTATTTAAAAAACAAAACAAAACAAACCTAGCAGCTTATGCTAAAATACTTGATTTTGCTTGAGGACCACAAAGGTAATAGGTGGAGACTGGCTGCAGTTCATCTTAATGATTCACCCATAGTGTTACAGTTTGCAGGATAGGAGCTTAGCTTTTGCGAAGCTTTGCTGTCTGTTGCTTTTACTGGAAGCACATCAGAAAGCACAGAAATGAAATCCTGAGAGAAATATGTCATTCAGGAAGAAAATAAGGAGGAGACTTTTACTGTGGAAATTCCTCTGGGTGCTGGTATAAGGTAAGAGATAAAATACATAAGAGAAATAAAAGCAAGCAGAGACTTTTAGCACAATATATTATAGCTGCTAAATGCTTTTCATGAGATATTCCACTCTTCTTGCTATGTGATTTAAAATATGAGGTTGGAAAGCATATCTTCACCAGATAAAATGAAAAGACAAAAAGTTTTCTACAGCTCTAATTATATTCAGAGATCTAATCTTAGTCCTGCATCTGGATTCGCTTCAGTATATACTTATGACCATATAGATGTATAAGAAGTCTTAGTAAGAAAATGATGTTTCTAAAAAACTTTTAGAAGATTCAGAAGAATGTAGTATTCACTCATTTTCCAAACAGATATTTCCAGTGAGGGCTTTTGTTGTTGTTGATTTTGTGTACTTATTTATGTTTCATAGTATTCTCTACATTTAAGAAATAGTAAATGAGCCCTAAGTAACAATTTAATACAACTTGAAAATTAGATTTTATGATGTATTATCAACTACTTCTTTGTGAACAATGAAAAAAGAATTTTCACCAATTTTAGAAGAACTACAGAGATGCAAAATGAAGTATGAGAAATACTAACCACAGTTAAATAAAAAGGATTCCTGATAAGAGAGCTATCTGATTAGATTTTCACAGGCTGTGGTCAGGAATCCTCTGTACTTCTCAGTCTCAATAAATAACAAAGTTTTGTGTCTGGACCTCTCTTAGTTGTTCATAGAGAATGTTCATTTTCACTAGTTGTTCCATGTTCCTTGACTTTCACATGTGGTGGTTAGGATTGTTTCACCTGAAGGTATTAATGTGACAAAAGCAGAGTGGGAGTAGACAGACCCTGAATTACTTTCATAGAAGTTATTATTTAAAATACACATCTGATACCATCTTTAAGGCATGAAATATTCATACTCCATATTAGAAGGAGGTGTGTGTATAGTATACCTGTTTGAAGGTCTCTGCAGAGTGGATTTTAATAAAGAGTCATTAAATAATATTTACTTGTTAAATTTTACTGCATTGATAGTGACTTCTGGTATCACTGACCTGGAGCTAAATTCTTAACAAACCTTAGTTGCACAGTCATCCTATATAGTTTGAAATTTTACATCCTAAATTTTGCAAGTTTGGTTAGAATTGTCATTGCTACTTGTCAGATTGCTAAAGACAATAGCTCAGCTTTAACTGTGAATATAACCAGGTACTTTAGGAAAAGATACTAGAGTCCACAAGTAGACCTCTATAGTTGAAGCATCCTCTTTCACTAGTAATAATGAATAAACTTCATGATACAAAGATCTTGCCTTTTAAGGAAAATTATGTTCATTTTTGATAATCATCAGTACTTTCCTTATTATAAATATATAAGTATGTTTAATTTGTCCCAGAAATACCTTATTCTCATTTCCTTTGTGAGGTCTTCTGCATATCTGCTAACCATGTATTTCAAATTAAAACAGGTAGACTTTGACTAGCCTACCAGTTGTACAGTCACACATCTCAGGAGAGGTGCATTTCATATTTGGACAACAGGGCATAAATACTTTAGTTTTATATCAATTTGAAGACAAAACTAAATATTTTTCTTTTTCTTTTCAGTTCGTAAGGACGTAGTTCATATCCTCTCTGATCTAGATGTTGAGGTCAAGGATATAACAAACTGTTACGATACTAGCTCTTTCCTTCAGCCACTGTCTTTGGAAGATGTATTTGAGAGAACGAGCAAGGAATTTCCCATGATTGCTGAGATAATGGATGGACTTTTAGGAAGCCAGAAACCTTATAACTTATTGCATACAGGGAAAGAGATTGTCATCTATAAAAAGTACCAGGCTACAAGAGTTATAGCCTCTGAGATCAGAAGCGATTCCTCCAAAAGACATTTTTTAATCCCTATGACCTATAAAGGAAAGTTCAAGAGAAGACCTCGGGAGTTTCCAACTGCCTATGACTTAGAGATAGCAAGAAGTGAAAGGGAACATCTTCATGTTGTAGCGACTAAAGCCTTTGATTCTCCTCATACAGAGCTTTTTTCTGTTTCAGTTGGAGATCAGTTTCTAGTTCAGCAGTGTCAGACTAGTGAAGTTCTTTATGAGGGAAGAAAGAAAGTCATAGATGTTTTAGCTTGTGAACAAATACTAAGTAATGCATACAAGAAAGTTCTTCTCCCTATGTATATGGAAGGTGGCTTTGTGGAAGTGATTCATGACAAAAAGCAGTACCAGCTTTCTGAGATTTGCAAAGAATTTCATTTGCCTTTTAATGTCAAAGTGTCTGTGAGGGATCTTTCCATGAAAGAGGATGTCTTGGCTGCTGTGCCTGGTCTGCAGCTTGAAGAAGAAATCACAGACTCTTATCTGCTGATCAGTAGTGCCAGCAGTCCAAAGGAGAGCTGGGAAATTCCTGTGTATCGCTTAAACATGTTGGTTCATTTACTCAGCAAAGATGTCAAGACAGTTGTACCTCCCATGACTAGGACAACAGTGGAAGAGATCAGTGAAGAGCAATACTATATGGTACGAAGATATGAAAACCAAACCGTACTTCCACCCCCTAGACCTCCCAAAAAGCCAGCGATACCTGCGCGACAGCCTGTTTTTGCAGTTTCTGAGCAAGATGTATCTGATGTACTACAGGCTCCAAAGGTAAAATATTGTGCTACGTCTGTCTTTGAATTTCTTACAAACATAGGTCATTTATAGTCTCCACTTCACACCATCCTTGTGGTGTTATACACAGATGGCTCTCCATTCCTTATAATAGGCAAATTAGCCATTATAGACAACAATGTTTAAAATCTCCACTGTGTGTTAATTGATCCATGAAAAACAACAGAACCATGCTGACTCACAGCAGAAAGCTTGGCCTTATAATTTTAGACAGACAATCCTTAATTGCAGCAATGCGAAAGTGAATGGAGAGACCTACAGTGGTTATATTCATACATTTATTAAGGGGTAACATATGTTTTCATTATATATATCAAGAGAATTTTGCTCAGCTGGAAACAGCAGAATCAAATTCACAGAAAGTCAGGCTGTATGGATGTTTTTAACTGCATATTTTTGCACTTACCCAAGTGTCAAATAGATCTGGAATAAAAAGGGCAACACTTTTAGAAAAGCCCTCAACATTAAGAAAGTTAAGTACCCCTTCTAGGACAATTTTCTTAGCGATTAACCTAAGCCAATGCGTTTGGTCATTAATTTTTGTGCTGAGTCTGGCTGAGATAGAAATTATTTTCTTCATAGCAGCCTGTGAGATGCTGTGTTTTGAACTTGTGACTAAAATGGTATTGGTAACTCGTCGGTGTTTAGGCTGTTGCTGAGTAGTATATGCATAGCAACTAGGCCTTCTCTTTTTTCTACTCTGTCCTCCAAGCAAGAAGGCCAAAAGGTGGCCTAGAGGCTGGGAGTGGACGCAGCTGGGACGGATGACCTGAAGTCACTCTGGGGGGCAGAGTGGCAAGGCTGGACTCTTTTCAGTGGTGAGTGGAGACAGGACAAGGGGAAACGGATAGAAGCTGCAGCATAGGAAGTTCCACACGAATGTGCGTAAGAACTTCTTTACAGTGAGGGTGATGGAGAACTGGAACCGGCTGCCCAGGGGGGTTGTGGATTCTCATTCTCTGGAGATGTTCAAGACCTGCCTGGATGCCTACCTGTGCGACCTGGTGTGGGGAACCTGCTTTGGCAGGGGGGCTGTTCTCGATGTCTAGAGGTCCCTTCCAACCCCTACAATTCTGTGATTCTGTGACCAGAGAGGGATGAGTTGAGTTCTTCTGCACATTCAAGAGTGAGAATGACCTTAGACTGCAGCTGCCCTGGCAAAGAGACATATGTAAGCAGACTGTGCCAGAGGACATCTTTTTTGTCACATGCTACTTATAAATAAATAATAAACTGCAGTTCGAATTATTTGAATTATGCAGATTCATAAATCTCCTTCCCTGCAAAGACGAAACAAGTAGAGTTCCCTTATTCATAAGATTAAACATTGTGAAAGTAAATGCAATAGGTTTAAAGTCTCACAGAATACATTATCTGTTCTATCCCAAGCACAGCAAGTCCTCTGAGAGGATGTGGATTGTAGCTGATAGGCTTTGCCTTGGCCTCTCTGCCAGAAACAGCAGTACAGAGACTTCATTTTCTTCTAAATCTAGCAGGGATGTCTGAGGTCTCAGAAAGTTAGAGATTGTGCCAAACTGATAAATAGCTCACTTTGCATATTTTGTGACTCTGCATAGGCTTATTTGCATAAATAACAGACAAATGTTTTAATGAGCTGAACTTAACCCTGACAAGGTGGCAGCCTAGAATAAGCTTTAATGCCACATGAATTGCCACTCTTCTACAGGCATCTCCCTGCCCGGCTGCATGCTGGAGGGTGGTGTTCCTCACCAAGTTTTTGGGAGCCTGGTGCTCCAGGATTAAATGCTGCTGCAGTACGAGTCCAAAGAGGTCTAAGATATGGCTGTTCTATGTCAGTAGTGGAGGATGCTCTACCAGAGCGGGTTACCTCTAGATATGGCTTGTGCTTTGAACGTCTATTAGCTATTCCAGCAAGACTGTGAGGGCAGAGAGGCTGCAGCTGTCTCTACCTGCTGCTCCCTGACCTTGGGAAGGAGAATACTAGGGCCAGGAGCAGAACTGTATAGTGTGTTTCTCTGTGTTCTTTTGGCCATTTTAGTCACTGAATTGTATGAATTCAGTGGCCAGTATGGACTGGAACCTGACATGAGTGCAAGAACAGCCTCTGGATGCAAGGTGCAGTATTCCAGAGACACGTTTCACAGTTCAACAAAGTCCAGAGACAAAAATAAAATAGCTGCATTAACCAAGCCCTATGCCTAGGCTCCTCACAGGGCTAATTAATTTGGCTCAGCTCCTGCTGACACAGCTTTCTCTTCCAGAGCCTGGGGATCCTTTCTCTCACTTCCACAAGGCCCTGCAGACTTTTGCTTTTCCTCTCACCTCATCATTCTATTTGGTTTAAAAAAAAAAAAAAAAACAAAAAAAAACATCCAGCACACGTATGTTTGAAGTTTCATATTAGTTTTTAATTGAATGAAGAAAGAAGCTCATGCCATGCCCTCCGTCTCCCCTCCCCACCCCCAACCCCAAAGTCCTGGCAAAATAAATAAATGAAATACAGTGATAGGCATCTGGAATTAATCTGACACATCAGAATAATTAACTCTATCTCATAAACAATATAATCTCTATCCACCTCTTCAAACCGTATCAGTTCTGTATCCCCAGCTGAGGACAGCACTGACAAAACAGTGGTACTAATTTTCCTTTGTTGAATGGAAAATGGGATACGAGCACTCAGAGAAAATCCACATTTCTTCACTTGAGCCACTGGAGAGAAGTCGTCAGGGGGCTCTAACTGCCATTTTGAATGAAATAGTTAAAGTCATTCAGATTCTGAATGGTGAGCTTAGCTAGAGAATAAGAACGACCTGATAAAATCCTAGTAGTTAATGCTAGTGGTTTGAAATTTGAGGCACTCACTCACTTGCCTGGAGAGAAGTCGTCAGGGAGGAACCAGACAGGACATCACCTTTCTGAAATTAGGATTCATTTAAAAGAACAAGCCAGATGTGCAACGGAAAGTTCTTCAGTTAGAACCACTGCTGTGAATATAAGAAACTCAGTTTTTTGCTTAGTATCTCCAGGTGAGCAGAAGAAATTCAGAAAGTGTTTCCTAAAATTTCCTTAGGCTTTTTATCTGATACCTGCAGTTTCCTCCCCCTGAAAAGATGCAAGGCAGCAAATTCTTTCTAGATTTCTTTTTGCTTATAAGAATTACCCATTCAGCTGAAATATTGACAAGCTACTGTGTGATCAACAGATTGAACAAAATTATAGTTTACACAGTGTGAGTTTCAAGTAGTAAATAAGCAACAGATTTAGGAAGCTTTATGTATATCCCTCCACAGTTTTGGTATTTTGTCTTTTTAAAACTATTTTTAATTGAACAGTCAAAGAAGACTTCTTACCAAATATTTCGAAGTGAATGTTATTAATAGGAAAACAGTAATCAATGCATGGAAGGCCATTTAGTTTTATGCTCCCTGGGGGCACTAAATGTGCTTCTTAATGAATTAAAAAAAAAAAAGGAAAAAAAAAAAAAGAAAAAAAAAAAAGGACTCTTCCGCCAGCATCTTGCTCCAGAAAAACAGTAAGAGAGGTGAAGGGGAGCTCCATCCAGGTCTGTTTTCAATAGCCTGCTTAAGCATGTATCTAGCCACAGGAACACTAGTATCAGTAAAATACTCACAAGCTTCAAGTAAGGATTGATGCTAAATGCCTCTATGAATGTGGAACTGGAAAAGTCAGTCACAGGCAGTAATCTGCTCAGCTTAACAAGAAAGCTGAGAAAATTCTGACCAGGCAAACTGGAATTTAATAAAAAAGTAAGGATCAGGACACGATAGTTAATCGTCATCTTGTGCTGAAGTCCATTATCCTTCAAAAAGTCATTACAGTGTTCCGATATCAGGAAATTTCCTGCCTTCTTGCTTTTTATTTCAAAATTAAAATGAAAGAAAAATTATCACTTCCATCTAGCCTTGCAGTTCTACAAACTGAACTACTGAAATCTGCCATTAACATATTTATCACATCTGTCCTCATAGCAAAATGAAGACTTATCTGGAATTAAATTGATAAGACATAAGCTGCATTTTTCAGCAAATGAGTTTTCCTGCAGTGCCTCTTTCCCTTCCTCCCAACTACTTCTTTTCTGCTTCCAGAGCATTTATCATGGATCTGGGGCCTTTATGCAGCCTGTTCAATACAAATATTTTTACTGTGTGGCAAGTAACTTAACATCCTAAATAAATAAATATTAGAAAATACACATAGGACAGCCAGCAAGGATCAGATAAGAACAGACTGCAATCTTTTGGCACTAGGAATAAGGAAGGAAAGTTTGGTTTATTAGTAGATGTAAATATACCCGTGCAAACTTAAGAAGGGTTTCTTTCTACAGGTGCACCATTTTGACTCTTAAGGCTGCAGTCATGCTTCCTCTCCCTTTTTCTCTGTATCCATGGAAAAGGAAGCTCCTCTTTCCCTGGAGTTGTACCTTCCACCATCTCTCCCCACTTCTCACAGAATTTCTTCACATTGCTTTCCAATTGCTTTGTGAGACCTCTCAAATAGTATGGGAAAACTGGAATTCCTATCCATGGAATGAAGTATCTGTCCTATGAGGAGCAGAGGCTGCTCATCCTGAAGAAGAGAGGGCCACAAGGTGACCTGATAGCGGCCTTTTGATATCTAAAGGGGAGCTACAGGAAAGAAGGGGACTGCCTCTTTCATAGGGTCTGTGGTGATAGAACAAGGCGAATTGGTTTCAAGCTCAAGGAAAGTTGATTTAGGTTAGATATAAGGAAAAAATCTTTTACAATGTGGGTGGCGAGACATTGGAACACATTGCCTAGAGATGTGGTTGATACCCCATCCCTGGAGACTTTCAAGGTGAGGTTGGATCAGGCCCTGGGCAACCTGATCTTACTGTGATGTCCCTGTTTGTTGCAGGGGAGTTGGAGTAGATGACCTTTAAATGTCCCTTCCAACTCTAAGGATTCTATGATACTGTGAAGTGCAGTCTTTACAGATTTATGAACAAACTT